GTGAAACAAAAAAAAAAAAAAAAAAAATTTAGTGATCATAAAAAGAATCAATTGTGAAACAAAAAAAAAATCAATTGTGAAACAAAAAAAAAAATCAACTGTGAAACAAAAAAAAAAAAAAAATCAATTGTGAAACAAAAAAAAAAAAATTTAGTGATCATAAAAAGAATCAATTGTGAAACAAAAAAAAAAAAAAATTTAGTGATCATAAAAGAATCAATTGTGAAACAAAAAAAAAAATCAATTGTGAAACAAAAAAAAAATCAATTGTGAAACAAAAAAAAAAAATTTAGTGATCATAAAAGAATCAATTGTGAAACAAAAAAAAAAAAATTTAGTGATCATAAAAGAATCAATTGTGAAACAAAAAAAAAAATTTAGTGATCATAAAAGAATCAATTGTGAAACAAAAAAAAAAATCAATTGTGAAACAAAAAAAAAAAAATCAATTGTGAAAAAAAAAAAAAAAATTTAGTGATCATAAAAGAATCAATTGAGAAACAAAAAAAAAAATTTAGTGATCATAAAAGAATCAATTGTGAAACAAAAAAAAAAAAAAAAAAATTTAGTGATCATAAAAAAGAATCAATTGTGAAACAAAAAAAAAATCAATTGTGAAACAAAAAAAAAAAAATTTAGTGATCATAAAAAAGAATCAATTGTGAAACAAAAAAAAAAAAAAATTTAGTGATCATAAAAGAATCAATTGTGAAACAAAAAAAAAAAAAAAATTTAGATCATAAAAAAATCAATTGTGAAACAAAAAAAAATCAATTGTGAAACAAAAAAAAAAATCAATTGTGAAACAAAACAAAAAAAATTTAGTGATCATAAAAAATCAATTGTGAAACAAAAAAAAAAAAAAATTTAGTGATCATAAAAGAATCAATTGTGAAACAAAAAAAAAAAATTAGTGATCATAAAAAAAGCAATTGTGAAACAAAAAAATAAAAAAATTTAGTGATCATAAAAGAATCAATTGAGAAACAAAAAAAAAAAATTTAGTGATCATAAAAAAGAATCAATTGTGAAACAAAAAAAAATCAATTGTGAAACAAAAAAAAAAAAATCAATTGTGAAACAAAAAAAAAAAAATTTAGTGATCATAAAAGAATCAATTGTGAAACAAAAAAAAAAAAAAAAAAGTTATCATAAAAAAGAATCAATTGTGAAAAAAAAAAAAAAAAATTTAGTGATCATAAAAGAATCAATTGTGAAACAAAAAAAAAAAAAAAAAAAATTTAGTGATCATAAAAGAATCAATTGTGAAACAAAAAAAAAATTTGTGAAACAAAAAAAAAAAATCAATTGTGAAACAAAAAAAAAATTTAGTGATCATAAAAGAATCAATTGTGAAACAAAAAAAAAAAATTTAGTGATCATAAAAAAGAATCAATTGTGAAACAAAAAAAAAAAAAATTTAGTGATTATAAAAGAATCAATTGTGAAACAAAAAAAAAAAATCAATTGTGAAACAAAAAAAAAAAAAAAAAAAAAATCAATTGTGAAACAAAAAAAAAAAATTTAGTGATCATAAAAGAATCAATTGTGAAACAAAAAAAAAAATTTAGTGATCATAAAAGAATCAATTGTGAAACAAAAAAAAAAAAAAAAAAAAAAATTAGTGATCATAAAAGAATCAATTGTGAAACAAAAAAAAAAATCAATTGTGAAACAAAAAAAAAAAAATCAATTGTGAAACAAAAAAAAAAAAAATTTAGTGATCATAAAAAGAATCAATTTAAAAAAAAAAAATCTATTGTGAAACAAAAAAAAAAAAAAAAAAAAATCAATTGTGAAACAAAAAAAAAAAAAAATTTAGTGATCATAAAAGAATCAATTGTGAAACAAAAAAAAAAAAATTTAGTGATCATAAAAGAATCAATTGTGAAACAAAAAAAAAAAATTTAGTGATCATAAAAGAATCAATTGTGAAACAAAAAAAAAAAATTTAGTGATCATAAAAGAATCAATTGTGAAACAAAAAAAAAAAATTTAGTGATCATAAAAGAATCAATTGTGAAACAAAAAAAAAAAAAATTGTGAAACAAAAAAAAAAAAAAAAATTTAGTGATCATAAAAGAATCAATTGTGAAACAAAAAAAAAAAAATTTAGTGATCATAAATAAATCAATTGTGAAACAAAAAAAAAAAAAAAATTTAGTGATCATAAAAGAATCAATTGTGAAACAAAAAAAAATCAATTGCGAAACAAAAAAAAAAAATCAATTGTGAAACAAAAAAAAAAAAATTTAGTGATCATAAAAGAATCAATTTGAAACAAAAAAAAAAAATTTAGTGATCATAAAAGAATCAATTGTGAAACAAAAAAAAAAAATTTAGTGATCATAAAAGAAGCAATTGTGAAACAAAAAAAATAAAAATTTAGTGATCATAAAAAGAATCAATTGAGAAACAAAAAAAAAAAAATTTAGTGATCATAAAAAGAATCAATTGTGAAACAAAAAAAAAAAATCAATTGTGAAACAAAAAAAAAAAAAAGAATCAATTGTGAAACAAAAAAAAAAAAAATTTAGTGATCATAAAAGAATCAATTGTGAAACAAAAAAAAAAATTTAGTGATCATAAAAGAATCAATTGTGAAACAAAAAAAAAAAAATTTAGTGATCAAAGAAAAAGAATCAATTGTGAAACAAAAAAAAAAAAATTTAGTGATCATAAAAGAATCAATTGTGAAACAAAAAAAAAATCAATTGTGAAACAAAAAAAAAAAAATCAATTGTGAAACAAAAAAAAAAAAAAAATTGTGATCATAAAAGAATCAATTGTGAAACAAAAAAAAAAAAATTTAGTGATCATAAAAGAATCAATTGTGAAACAACAAAAAAAAAAATTTAGTGATTATAAAAAGAATCAATTGTGAAACAAAAAAAAAAAAATCAATTGTGAAACAAAAAAAAAAAAAAAAAAAAATCAATTGTTAAACAAAAAAAAAAAAAAATTTAGTGATCATAAAAAAGAATCAATTGTGAAACAAAAAAAAAAATTTAGTGATCATAAAAGAATCAATTGTGAAAAAAAAAAAAAAATTTAGTGATCATAATAGAATCAATTGTGAAACAAAAAAAAATCAATTGTGAAACAAAAAAAAAAAAAATCAATTGTGAAACAAAAAAAAAAAATTTAGTGATCATAAAAGAATCAATTGTGAAACAAAAAAAAAATCAATTGTGAAACAAAAAAAAAAAAAAAAATCAATTGTGAAACAAAAAAAAAAAAAATTTAGTGATCATAAAAGAATCAATTGTGAAACAAAAAAAAAAAAATTTAGTGATCATAAAAGAATCAATTGTGAAACAAAAAAAAAAAAAAATTTAGTGATCATAAAAGAATCAATTGTGAAACAAAAAAAAAAAAAAATTTAGTGATCATAAAAGAATCAATTGAGAAACAAAAAAAAAGAATCAATTGTGAAACAAAAAAAAAGAATCAATTGTGAAACAAAAAAAAAAGAATCAATTGTGAAACAAAAAAAAAAGAATCAATTGTGAAACAAAAAAAAAAGAATCAATTGTGAAACAAAAAAAAAAAGAATCAATTGTGAAACAAAGACATCGAAAACAAAACGGATCCGAATGAATTAAAACTTATTATAAAGCAAAAGAAGGTAAGTAACATGTCAAATATTCAAAATGTGTTTTTCTTCATTTTTTAGAAAAAAACCCGAGGTTGTAATTATGATAATAAATATAAATCACTTCCGGTTTGCTTTGCTGTTTTGGATTTCAAAAGTGGCACGAGAATACAATGTACATTGAGTTGTATGAGTCAAGAATTCTGCCATGTTTGGAGAATGGATAATGGTTATTGCCACTTGTTCAAATCATTCTTGAAAAAAGTGAGGCTATATTGGAAAATATTACAGTTGACCATAGACTGGGAGAGTTTAGGATTGTAGTGGCCACGAAAACATTATCTCGGTAGACTGTACTAAATGCAGCGGTTCTTGGGAAGAAGCAGTTCAAGTGAAACTTCCTACATACTAATGGAATACGAAAAGAATTGGGATGCATCGTCGCAATGGGCGTGGCATGGTCGGTCTTAGCTGTGAATTTTAGAACTGCTGGATCTAAGAAATGTAATTCGTCGATGGAAAGAGCAAGAGTAACGAGAGACGTGATGTTCCGTCTGTGGGGAAATGGGTTGTATGGTGGGAAACAATTCATCATACACGCCATGTAAATACGTTTGAATTCATGATTATTGGTTTATTATTATTTATTGGCTTTGAAACTAAATCCGTGCGATACAAAAGCAACAACAAAAAAAGATTATTTAATATTTTGCACTTGCTAAAAACACATTCATTTGCATAAAACAAGAGAAACCTCATAAGACCATAAGAGGTTAAGATTAAAGTGGTTGCAAAAGCATCCTCTCGGGAGTCTGTTGGACAAATAGCGGTTCTTTTGAAGAAGCTCTCCGGGTGGGGTTTCCTTCTTAGTAATCGAATACGAAAGGGAAAACGTATGGTCTTAACTGTGAAGGTGAGAACTACGGGAAATATAGGCAGAATAGCGAGAAGTTGGCGACATTTCGACTGTGGGAAATTGGTAGTAGGGTGGGATACAATTCATCGCCCACAAGAACGCGTAAAGGCTTTTGTATTCTATCAAGATTAGAAAGTGAGGACTTGATATCTCAAGCCCAGATACGACAGCAGTCCTCACTTTTCCATCCTATCTGGCTTTGGTAAAGTTAGAGCAGAGCAGAAGTCAGGTACCATCTGGAGCGGTACAAGCAACTGGCCATCCCTTCAGATTCTTTACAGATAGATATATGGGATTCACCTGAGTCCCAGTAGTAGTTCAAAGTAAGGGATCCCTTGAGAAAATCTCTGTTCATCGCCATAGGCGAAAGTTCAGTGTTTGCTAGATGATGGACTATTCCATACATTTGAAAATAAAACGGAAATAATCAAAAGTATTTATAAGAAGTTTTATTTCTTAAATTACATTGCTTGTAGTATAAGTTGTCTTTCACAGAGGAATAAATTCATAGTCCACAGGAAAACAAGTGAGAAAAGAAAATAGACTTAAGTGGTAGGAACGAAGGAAGTAAAAAGATGGAAATAAAAAAGAAAGACGAGGAATAAAAAAAAGAGGCAGAGGAAAAAGAAAGAAAAGATTAAGGAAGAAAGAAAGAAAGAAAGAAAGAGACGGAGGAAAAAGAAAGAAAAGATTAAGAAGAAAGAAAGAAAGAAAGAAAGAAAGAAAGAAAGAAAGAAAGAAAGAAAGACGGAGGAAAAAGAAAGAAAACATTAAGGAAGAAAGAAAGTGTCGGTGGAAAAAGAAAGAAAAGATTAAGGAAGAAAGAAATAAAGAAAGAGACGGAAGAAAAAAAAAGAAAAGATTAAGGAAGAAAGAAAGAAAGAGACGGAGGAAAAAGAAAGAAAAGATTAAGGAAGAACGAAATAAAGAAAGAGGCGGAGGAAAAAGAAAGAAAAGATTAAAGAAAGAAAGAAAGAAAGAGACAGAGGAAAAAGAAAGAAAATAATGAGGAAGAAAGAAAAAGGGTTGAAGAAAATTAAAAACTGGGAAAAAAGAAAAAAAAACGACTAAAGGCGAAAGAACATATAACAAATGTGAAGAAAACAAAGAAGAAATAAACAGCAAAGGCAAAAAGTGAAGAATATATGTCAAAAGAATAAGGGTGAAAGGAAAAGAAATCTTAAAGAGATATAAAAGAAAGGGGGAAGAATAAAATAGCAAAGAGAAAAAAAAAGACAATTATATCGATAAAAAAGTAGAGAAAAAATAACAAAGAAAGGAGCAAAACGACTTGGTATAAAAATATGAATAAGCAAATTTAGACATTTCAAATGACAATTTATGAAAGATATTATCGTCTACAATAAAGGAATACAATATTCATGAACATATAGTTGAACAACTTTAAATATTCCAATTGAAAATCTATGAAATATATTATTGGCTCCGACACAGAAATAAAATAATTGGCGGACAATATAGTTTTATAAATTATTTGCAGGCGTTATTACGTCGTTAAAACTAATGGCTAAAAGAAACAAAATCTCGTTGGTTAATATTACTTATTAGATTTAATGTAAGAAAAATGTTACAGGAAAGTAAATAAAAAAGAAAATACATAAGAAAGAAAGAGAGAGAGAAAGAAGGGAGAAAGAGAAAGAGAGAGAGAGGGAGGGAGAGAGAGAGAGAGAGAGAGAGAGAAAGGATTGTGTTGAAATTATCCATTGTATTCAACAATGTTTGATTTTAGGTCTCGTACATTAAATTACTGAAGAATAAAGGTGAACGGAAAAGAAATCTCAAAGAGATATAAAAGAAAGGGCAAAGAATAAAATGGCAAATAGAAGAAGGGAAATAAAGGAAGAAAGAAAAATTCTAAGATAAATGTCAATCATGGCGACGATATCAAAGAAGTCACGGATAAAAAAAGAAAAATGTGAAAGAAAAAATGGAAAAGAAAAAGATAAATGAATGTATTGAAAAGAAAGACATCAAAAAATACATGAAAAAACTGAGGCGATGTAATTATATCGAAAAAAGAATAGAAAAATTACAAAAAATAACAAAAAGATTTTGTATAAATATATGGACAAACAACTTTAGAAATTCCAATTGACAATCTATGAAATATATTATTGTCTACAATAATTCCAGTCAGATCAATTACATTCACTTACGTATTAACCCTTGGGAAAGGTACGAATCCTCTTCTCCCTCCAGCTATGGGTAAAAATAGGACGACATACCGGGTTCTATAGCCTTGAATGGCAACTGGTCTGCCGCAGAAAAAAATGGCAGCCTACTGTCGCAAGAAAAACTGCCTCATCAGTCATGTATCGAAACTTAGGAATGGACAATATGGTATTTGTAAGCGTTATTACATGTTTAGAACTGATACTAGAAGCGTGATCTCGTTGATTCATTTTATTTATTATCTTTAATGTGACAAAAATATTACAGGAAAATAAATAAAAAAAGCAAAAGTATAATGCAGAGTGAGAGAAGATTGTATAGAATTATCCATTGTATGCAACAGGAATTGATTTTAGGTCTCGTAAATAAAATTAGTTATGAATTTCGTGACTGTTAAAAAGATATGTAAATGGCCATGGCGTCGGCGACAGCATGTTCTGCAAAAAAAAAAAAAAAATATCAGAAACCAATGGTTGAAATAATTAAGAAATAAAATAAAAAAAGAGCAAATAAATGTTTAACAAAAAATATTTTTAAAAGTAATTTCCCAGCATTCCCTGGTGTCGTTAATCTGTCTAATGCCATTACAATTCTGGCACACAAACGAAGATTGATGGAGTCGTCCACGCCCTTAACACAAAAAGAATATCTCCCAAACACTAAACACAATCAACACGATCTATAATAGTATTTTTGTGCTATAGTCTACATAAGTTAAATGTTGACGACGCCTTTCATGATCAAGTAATCAATACGAATTTATTAATTAAAACTTATGTGGTGTTTACTCGTTCCCTCCACCAGAACGAGATGTGATACAAGGTCTTTTTAAAGTGGGGAGACCGAGCGCGTATACCCTGGCAAGGAACAAAAATTTCCCTCAGCTCCCGCAACCGTCAGTTGCGCTGGCCTCGGTGAGAGCACCGATTCCCGCCTCTGGTGCAATGGGAGGGCGCGGCCTCGGGCAGCTGTTCCCCAGGGCTAGGCACCTCTTCAGTATAATTTTCCTCACTTGCCCCTCTGTCCTTTTTACAGAGAAGCCCCTGAGCGCACTCTGTCCTTTTTACAGAGACGCAACTGAGAGATAAGAGAACGTGTAACTACTCAAAAAGAGTAATTTACACAAGTAGTGATTTTCCAAGCGTAGCTTAGATGTGGCACAAGGCTGAAAGTATGGGGCACCCAGTGAGGTACGAACTCACTAATCAGTCGTAATTGTTCTCAAGCTTGTTAACCATTACACAATCTCGAGGTGCCCAGTTGGGATAACGAAGAAGTATGCGTCAACATTTTAGGTTTTAATTATTTAAATGCAAAGCCCTATTAATTTATTATTTTAATTCGACATTTTTTTAATTTTCTAAATATTCCCCATCAAATTGGAGTGTTTTACCTGCAGTTTTTGTTCTGCCGGATCTCTGCAACAAAAGATGACTTTATCCAGCGTACTATTCGAATTAAAACTGTATAATAAATAAGCTCTGACAGGAAATAATTAAGCACTCTTGTTATAAACGATAAGTTGTTCGTTTAATTTGACGTCAGCATTATTGGCTACTGTTGATACAGCGAGAATAATTACTAGTTACAACAATACTTGACCAAAGATTGAGGTATGTGTTATGAATAATTAAGAGTGGTCTGCCCTTGTTTTGTTATTCTCCTCTTTGAGAGAGCTATTTCTGTTTACTGGGACTATAAAAGGTCACTATACACGAATTTATTTATTATTTAATTGACTTTAATTTATAAGAGATTCATTTAAAAATCTGGTCGATTTATATTTAATTTCATTTGAATTTAATTTACTAGTTAGTGCCATATCGCCATTGTTCTGTTTCAGGATGAAAATTGACTGTATAATGGTAAAGTTGCCCTTGCATTCTAAAACAATACGCACTTTCACAGTTACAGATTGTTGTATATATAATATCGTTCTGGGAGGTGTAATGGTTAGCAAGCTTGTCTCGCTAGAACAATTACGCCTGAATAGTGAGTTCGATACTCACTGGGTGCCCCATTCTTTCGGCTTTGCGCCACATCTAAGCTACGCTTGGAAAATCGCTATATAATATCGTTCTTCTACCAACACTTTCCTTTATGACTGAACATTTATATCTTTCTTATTGATTTTCAATAATTTACTATATATTGTCATTAGACATATTAATAGTCGTATTCCTTTAGTAACGCTGTCTTAATTTATAGACCAGTGACAATCCAAATTTTTATAATTTTCAATTCACAAAATTTACAGAGCAAGTAAAATTTTCCCTGAAACTGGAGTTTTATTCTCTGCCGGATCTCTGGAACAAAAGATGATATTATCCAGCGTACTAGTCAGATTACAGTAGTATAATAAATAAGCTCTGACAGGAAATAAGGAAGCGCTTGTTCTTATAAACGATGACATGGTTTAATTTGACGTCAGTATTATTGGCTACTGTTGATGCTGCGATAATAATTTACTATCTACAATAATACTGGACCACTGTTTGAGGTACGTTTGCTGTACTCCTGTCTGACAATGTAATTAGTGCCGATGACGAGTACAATTCAGAATCTGGCGTTTGACGACTTCTTTTGTCGACTGTTCTTGATAACTCTTCCCGGCGACTCTTTTTGACGACTGCTAACGACAACTGACAGGTTACGACACACCTGAATAATAGGGTTCTACCAAATTCTACCTCCAGCCATAGTTCAGCCAGACAGATCAATTCCGGCCACGTGATCCCTCATTAAATAACCGACTGAGGTTAATATGTCGTAAATCAAACCAAACTAAAACATAAAATGTATTTTTCTCCGCACCTGGGTCCTCCCAATTTTGGTACCCACGCAGTTTCAGGATACCCCATTTATCTGAATACACGCATTTACGTTATGTATCCGGCCAGGTCTTAGCTTTGATAAGTTTCAACTTTTGACCCTGTCAACGGCTTAGTCAACATGACTGTTGTTTCAAACCACTGTTATCGTTATCAGATTATTTAGGGTCACAGCTGTGACTAGTCGATCAGAATTGATATTTTCCTCTCAGCCATTTCAAATCATTCAGCGTACATTTATCATCTTGTAAAATATGCAGTATTCCCAGGTTGTTACATTGTAAATCGGTAACGAGAATAAAAGATGAAACTCAGCCTACAGAATACGGGATCAAAAGTGGTGATTTATTTTAAGATTAAGAGATTAGCTGAATTGTGATGGTTTTTCTCAAAACAGAGGACATTTTTTATGATGTTTTTCACTATCATTTTGCTTCCCGCTTTGTAATCCTTGCTAATTCTTTTTTTGTAAGACAAAAGAAATGTTTTATGTTTTCACTTATTTCGTTTTCCGCTTTGTAATCCTTGCTAATATTTTTGCAAAACAGAAGAAACATTTTGTTTTCACTCTCATTTCGTTTTCCGCTTTGTAATCCTTGCTAATTTTTTTTTTGTAAGACAAAAGAAACATTTTATGTTTTCACTCTCATTTCGTTTTCCGCTGTGTAGTCCTTGATTTTTGTTTGAAAAACAGAAGAAACATTTTATGTTTTTACACTCATTTTGTTTTCCGCTTTGTAATCCTTGTTATTTTTTTTGTAAAACAGAAGAAACATTTTATGTTTTCACTTTCATTTCGTTTTCCGCTTTGTAATCCTTGCTATTTTTTTTGTAAAATAGAAGAAACATTTTATGTTTTCACTTTCATTTCGTTTTCTGCTTTGTAGTCCTTGTTATTCTTTTTTTGTAAAACAGAATAAACATTTTATGTTTTCACTTTCGTTTCGTTTTCCGCTTTGTAATCCTTGCTAAATTTTTACTTAGCCATAAAAATTCTAATTGCTCTAAAGCGTTACGGACTAAAGAAACATAATTTCTTGCTTATACAAAATGAAATATGGTCGAAAATCTAAATCTTACCTTTATGCCCCAAAATGGCGGTTCCTTTATCAGAATAAGTTAGACGTGCATGCGGCAAAAAAATTTTCCATTTACACCAAGTTCTTTCGTCAATTATTCCAGTCCATCCAATGACCAATGGACATTCGGAGTTCGCTTTAAAACCGGGTCTTTGGTTGAATAAAAATATAAATAGAAGTTTTATATTTAGGTAAAGACATTTTTGCTGAAAGGATTTTCAAAAATGATTTCTCTCTCTTATGAGGATCTCTTGGGAAGCAAATGCATTCCTCTACTTACGAAGCAAATAGATTCCTGGAGTTTGTAAGTTTATTTAAATTGGACAAAAAAGCCATTTCTTCTTCATCTCAATTTTAATGGAATATGAAATGAATTTTTATCACGTTCATAACCCTCCACACTTTCTACATCTCACGGTAGACCAGGGTGCCGTAGCTCAGATATTGCCAACTACTTGCTTTAAACGTTGTTTTAGATGACACTATTTTAATGTTCACTATATTCGTAAATATGATTTCAATGATTATAAGCTGATAATATATATATATATATATATATATATATATATATATATATATATATATATATATATATATATATATATATATATATATACAGGGT